GCCCAGTTGGTGCAGAACATGAAAGCGAAGCTTCAATGCGTCCTCCAACAAGGGGAGTGGGCCAGTGCATGGCAACTCACCGGACTACCGGACCCCTTGTCCCGTCGCGAATGGGCAGGAACCAAGGAGGAAATGGCGATCATCAGCGGCTACATGAACTCCGTGCACAAGCTCAAGAAAAGGATGAAGGAGGCGAAGGAGGCGGGAGGAGCCGGCCAGGACGAGGCCGACTAGCGGGTTCACATCTGCGCATCGGGGGGGGCGGAACATGTCAGTCTGACCGCTGTTATCCAAACTTCCCGGTGCCAGATGATGATCCCACCAGAAAAATGCATGGTCACGATCCTTGCTCACGGGGTTTCTTTCCCTGGGAGCGAGGCCGGAATTCAAAGTTCATTAGATACTATGTCTGGCAGAAGGGCGCTCACAGTACCCCACCGGCTCGGGCTGGTAGCGATGACACTTCACTTTTTCCAGCTGCACTCCCTTACCCAGAAGCCTTCAGTGCGGAGGGTAAGGCAGTCGTCGGGCATGAAAGGATCACTTTGTTTGCAAAAGCCTTCCTAAACTTTTGGGTTTGTTGGAGCAACTTTGTGGTGCTGGGTTGTCCTGACTGTCGGAATGCGACTGAGGCGCGGGTAGGCTATAAGCAACTGGAGGACGTGAGGTCCTGCGCTGATGGCTTGCTAGGCGAAGTGAAAGAATTCGTTAAAGACTTGTTTTGTGTAGAGGTGATGCAGATGGAGGGGGGAAGACAGACTTTGGAAGAAGCCCTCCAGATGCTTCAGATGAGTCATGCATGCTATGGTGCCCCAGTCACCTCTGCAAAAGCAGTGTTGGAGAAGGTGAGCGCAGCAATTCCGGTTCAGGCTGAGAGAGTTGCAATCCCGGAAAAAGCCGGACTTGTGGACCCACTAGCATGGCTGCCCCCACATCGCAAGGCAGTCTTAAGTGATCTCAGCCGGCTTCGGCGACCGGAGCATTTGTGGAGAGAGGTCGTGCCAGCTTGCCATCGCGTCCCTGTGTCCGAAGAGGCGCGGCTGATGGCAAAATTGTTAGCAAACGGAATGGTTTCGATTTTCCCCGAATCTGACCTTCCCAAAGACTCCCAGGGACGACTGCTGACAGGAGGCTTCTTTTGTGTAAAGAAAAACAGTAGTGAGGACCGTTTAATTTTTGATCGCCGCCCCGAAAACGCGACCATGGACCGGTTGGATTGGGCTAAGCTTCCGGCCGGAGCTTGCTTCTGTCGAGTTCTTTTGGAGCCAGATGAATTTTTACGCGGCTCTGGAGACGACCTGCGCAATTTTTACTATTCACTGCGACTCCCTGAGAACTGGAAGAAGTACAATGCAGTAGGCCGTAGGTTACCTTCCTTTTTGGTCAAGCAATATGGGGGCGATCCGAACGTTCCTCATCGAGCTGTGATGCGTGTGTTAGGCATGGGTGATACCAACGCATGTGATATTGCACAAGGGATGCATGAGTTTGTCTTGGAACAATTTGGCTTGCTGGGAAGTGAGTACAAGTTGGTGTATGGACAACATGTGCCGCAGGGCAACCTCCTTGAGGGTGTTTACCTGGACGATCTTTTGGTAGTTCACAAAGTGAAGGAAGTAGCCCCCATACCTTTACACAGTCCCTTCGTTGCCCCGGTGCCACAGGATACAGATCCGGATGTGGTGCATGTCGCAGCTGCCGAAGCTGCGTATGCGGCAGCGGGCCTGGAACGGGCCACCCACAAGAGCTTTCGGTTTCAGACTTCCTTCAAGGCCTGGGGGGCAGAATTGGAGGGCGTCAAGGGCACCGTAGGTGCCCCATTGGCCATGAAGCAACAAGTGTGGTGGTTATGGAACAGAGTGGTCTGTTTGGGTGAGGCTACAAAGTGTATTCTTCAGAAGCTTCTGGGCTATACGTGTTTTATTTTCCAATATAGACGGGAGTATTTTTTCTCTGATGCATCACATCTTCAAGTTTGTCGATGGTATGGCAGATGACAGTGTAATGCGCATCCCGTCGCACATTTTGGATGAAATACGTTCAATACAGGTGCACTTTCCTTTTGCCAAGTGGAACATGCGAAGATGGCTGGATCAGTCAATTTTGGCAACAGATGCAACCCCCACCTCTGCGGGAGCCACCCGTGCGCTTGCGTCTGCCCGCCTTGCCCAGGAGCTGTGGAAGCGTTCTGAGATTCGCGGGGAGGCAGTACGCCTTGACCGGAGTGACGGGGGAGTAGAGCTTGGAGGCCCGGAGGAACCCAAGGAACCTTCGCGCTTTGGAAGTGCTATTGCAGAGTGCTTGCCTTGGACAGTCACAGCTAGCTACACGTTCAGGCAAACGTCACATATCAACCTTCAGGAATGTAGAGCTTTGAAAAAGGAGATCATCCGGGCCTCAGCAGACCCTTCGAAGAAAGGGAGTGTGCAGATCTGTCTTAACGACAGCCGGGTAGTTGTTGGGGCTTTTGCTAAAGGCAGGTCGTCTTCCTTTAAGTTGAATGGTACACTGAGAGGGCTCCTTCCGTATTTGACAGTCAGCAATATTGCTTTGGCTTTGCTATGGGTGGAGACGGAGTCCAACCCCGCCGACTACCCTTCACGCTTCAAGCCTTTGCCTCGGCGCCATACTCCGCCCAAGTGGATGTGGAAATATGACCTGCAGTGGTGTTTCCCCCCAGGGCTTGAGGTCTTCCCAGGCGCAAGGTGTCTAACAGAAGCGTGTTTGAAAGGTGGTATTCCTATGCACAGAGCGGTAGACGATCTTTGGGGGTTAGATGTCTTTGACAGCTGGATAGATGAACTAATCCTTTCTGGCCGGGTTGGCTTCGTGTGGCTGGCGCCGCCATGCTCTGGAAGAGAGCTAGGTGATGCGTTGTGGAAGCGGGCTCTTGCTTTAGCACAACTGGCCATTTCGGTGGGTATTCCGTTTTTCCTTGAGCGACCTGCTAAAAGTAAAGCGTGGTTGATGGACGAAACCCAAGCTTTCTTGAGTCGGACAGGACATAGGCTCCATCAGGTACAGTGGTGTGCTTATGCAGACCATGAACGTAATGGTTGCCCTGTGCCCAGACCTTCAAAAATTTACAGCTCAGCCCAATGGCTGCCCTTCATCCTCCATCAATGCCCCGGAAGCCACATTCATGGACCCCTGCCACGAGGTTCTTGGTCCAAGATAGCAGCGTCTTATCCCTTGGGATTCTGTCAACTGTTTGTGCAAGCACTACGGCGGTGGCATGGTGCGCCTTCGAAATATAGGGCTGTCTCGGCCCTATCGACGAAGCTTGCTTGAAGCGGGCAGAGCTCTGTTGCGGAGACTAGCGCAGCGGGGTTACTCCGTGACAAAACAAACACCTGCGCAGACACTGGACCGGATGTTTGAAGCAGCAGTGGAAGATGCACATCGGGAAGGGGTCAAACTGTATTGGGTTACTTTGGGAGTGGTTGCGCTTCAACGTGCATTTAACGTTTCTGGTACGCTCTTGAAGGGCACATGGCGTGCCATACAAGGTTGGCGTTCTCTTCAACCTGTTCGTTCTCGGATCCCGATCACAGCTCAGGTCTTGTACGGTCTGTTTGTTTTTGGGTTGCGCGAGGGCTGGAGAGAAGACGGTTTCCTTCGTGCGCAGATTTGGGGCTGTGTGCTGGCCTTATGGTTGGGTTTCGCTTGCCTCCTCCGGCCTGGTGAGATTTTGCAATTGCGTGTGCGCGATGTTTCTTTCTCGACTGCAAGCAGTTCCACGCTATTTGACCCCGGAATGGTACTAGTGGTCCGAACCCCGAAAACCAGAAGGGTGTGGCACAAGCAATTTGTCCTTTGTTCTGACGTGCGGTTGGAACGCTGGCTTCGCTGGTGGCTACAAGGTCTTTCTCCTCGGGCTCCATTGTTTCCCTTTTCCAGATATATTTGGACTAAGCACTTCACTCATCTGTTGCAACAACTGGGGCTGCAAGACATAGGGTATACTCTGGGCTCAGTCCGAGCGGGCGGTGCCACCCATCATTTCAGACAACACGCCAATTTAGGTCAGTTGCAATTTTTGGGACGGTGGTCGTCAGCAAGCACCATGCAATTTTACCTGCAGGAGGCATTCTCAGCGCATGTTGAAGCACGTTTTTTCAGCGGCAACGTTGGAGAAGCTTAATTTGTTAAACCAGCATTCTTTTCTTCTCAGTTCCCCTCCAATCCAGTCACTCTTTTCTTTGTTTGGTGCCGGGGCCCATGTGCGAGCGCGACGAGATCGCCCCGCTGGGAGCCTTGAC